CCAATTTCATTTTTGATCCATTGTTTGACTTTATCATTCCCACCAGGTATGACGTAGCCTCGTGATGATATAATGGTCCCCACATATTGAAAAGTAAACATCTGACTCCCACTCCCCCCTCCCCACCAGGTATGACGTAGCCTCGTGTCGTGTGGTCGCCACCCCGCCCGCCAGTGAGACCTCCAGCACCTCGTCCGCGCCGCACGTGCTGGTGGAGAGGAAGGTGGTGATCAACGTGAGTCAGGACTCGGACTTTATAGGACTCAATATCCGGGGAGGCCGGGAGTACGGCGTGGGGATATACGTGTCCAGGTCAGTTGTCTCGTTGTAGTTGTCTCATTGTATTTGTCTCATTGTATTTGTCTCATTGTATTTGTCTCATTGTACTTGTCTCATTGTAGCTGTCTCGTGTCCAAGTCAGTTGTCTCATTGTAGTTGTAGTTGTCTCATTATAGTTGTCTCATTGTAGTTGTCTCATTGTAGTTATCTCATTGTAGTTGTCTCATTGTAGTTGTAGTTGTCTCATTGTAGTTGTCTCATTGTAGTTGTCTCGTTGTAGTTGTAGTTGTCTCGTTGTAGTTGTAGTTGTCTCATTGTAGTTGTCTCATTGTAGTTGTAGTTGTCTCGTTGTAGTTGTAGTTGTCTCACTGTAGTTGTCTCGTTGTAGTTGTAGTTGTCTCGTTCGTAGTTGTAGTTGTCTCATTGTAGTTGTCTCACTGTAGTTGTCTCGTTGTAGTTGTAGTTGTCTCGTTGTAGTGGTCTCATTGTAGTTGTCTCATTGTAGTTGTATCATTGTAGTTGTAGTTGTCTCGTTGTAGTTGTAAGTGTCTCATTGTAGTTGTCTCGTTGTAGTTGTAGTTGTCTCATTGTAGTTGTCTCATTGTAGTTGTCTCGTTGTAGTTGTAGTTGTCTCGTTGTAGTGGTCTCATTGTAGTTGTCTCACTGTAGTTGTAGCTGTCTCATTGTAGTTGTCTCATTGTAGTTGTCTCATTGTAGTTGTCTCATTATAGTTTTAGTTGTCTCATTGTATTTGAAGTGGTTAGGCTACCGGACTCAAATTTGGAGTTCCCTCAAAACATGTCAAACTTTTTCGAATACAATTCTTTGAATATTTTGAAAACGTCTCCGAATAATCTTACAATTTGGATAGTGCAGATAGAACACTTTGGTTTCTGACTTAATGGTTTTAGTAACTTCAGAACGGCCAAAAATGTAAGATAGAACTTTGTAATTCGAAGGGAGCGAGTTCGGGTAAGATACACATAAGGTCGCTTTTAAGCACAAGTGAGCTATCCCGAAAAAATACTGTTTTGAGAAAATCAAAGCTAAAGGTTTTGCCCCTTATTCAGTTTCTTTAAATGACGAGGAGAGTTTTCTCTATAACCAAACATTTATACACACCAATGCAACCAAACTTCTCATATTGGTAGGGCAATGCCCACATTTGGAGTAGGTCAAGATTTCGGGAAACCCCCGAAATCTGGGTTAGCCCACTTGTCCTTATAAAAAGCGACCAATTTTGATAGAGGAGATAGAACACTTTGGTTTCTGATTTAATGGTTTTAGTAAGTTAAAATGGCCACAAATGTCGGATAGAACTTTGTAATTCGAAGATAACGTGTTCGGGTAAGATATACATATATGTGTCCTTTCGTGTAGTATTGTTAATGAATGGTTGTGAAAGTTCTTTTTTATGTTATTGAACTGTTTTTTCTTGTTTCTGTGAAATATTTTTTTCTCGTGTGAATGAATGATTGTGTGATTGGTGTAAAGTGCTCAGAGCTTATACTAGTATAGCATAGAGCGCTATATAAATGCAATCTATTATTATTATTATTATT